CCAAGTGCTAGACCGAGAGAGTACACCATAAAGGGGTTTGGCTTCGCTCTTCAGGTGAACAAATATTTCAAAATGTTATAGTTCATTTAAATACATTTACATAGATTGATGTTTCATTGTTCTAAACAGATTTGGGCATTTGAAGTCTTCCCAGCATTGGAAGCATTGCATTTCGTGGTGCATGAAGACAATGGGCACATCCCCCAAATATTACATTAGAGGACCAACACGGTGGCCCGTTTTCGAGACCTCATGAGTCAAGTTTATGAAAATGTTGAGGTTAGTTCAGTTCGTAAGGATCATGTTATGCATAGGAAAATGTAATAAGTTCACTGATTTATTATTTCTTTCAAATAATAATAGGTTGATGTGCAACTTCTCCGTCCCACTGATATTGAGAAGCAACAACCTTACTGGAGTTGGGGTGATGCTGAGAACAATGAAGAAATTGTTGAATTGTTTGGGGATAAGGCCGAACAAAATACCAGCAGTTCCAGTGAAGCAGCAGACAAGGAAGTTAAGGACACAACTACACTTCCCTCATCTTCTAAGGTGACCATGATCTTTTTCCAATATTGTGGTAATTATTGAATTAAAAGTGGTTGTATATAATCAGTTTGTTCTGAAAATGTAGAGAATACGATACGACTGAAGTGCAAATATTTACTATTGCATTTTAATTATGCAGCACAAAGTGTCTTTGACTGAGTTGCGCAGTTTGAAGCATCAATTACAAAGCAGTAAGGATGAGTTGGCAAAGCTACGCACTTCAGATTGAGGCCTTAGGAACAGAGTGCGCGAGTTGGAAGGGATTGTAGAGAAGAATTATTTGAAGCAAGAGAGGGACTGTGAAAAAAATAAAAAGGCTATTCGCGATTTGACCCACACAATTGCTTCAGTCGAACACTATTTTAAGGTGGAGATGGAGGAGTTAAAAAAAACAATATGGTGGAGAAGCGGATGAGGAAATGTCTACTCCTCAGAAGAATGAAAAAGGGCAGAATGAGATGTCACCCTTAAATGAACCTATTAGTCCGACTACAGCAGAGGCTGAAATGGAAGCATAAGTTTGCGGTGATGGAGTGGAAGCGTTCCCAGCCATGCATACACAAGGGGCTCAAATGGAAGCAGAAGTCGACGGTGATGGAGTGGAAACCTTCCCAGCCATGCATACAGAATGGGCTGAAATGGAACAAGAAGTACCCGGTGATACAGTGGAAGCCTTCTCAGCCATGGAAGTTAAAGACGCTGAAATTGAGCCTTCTCAGCCATGGAAGTTAAAGACGCTGAAATGGGAGTAAAGGTATGTCAACATTGACATCATGGTCCATACAAAAATACACACCTCAACAACTGTAAATACACAAAAAATGGAAAAAGAAAAAAAAAACTCTATACTATATTAATATTCAAGTATATAACATCGGAATAATAGCTTACTAGGAAGTTCCATAATTCTCAATTTATGAAAACTAGAGAAATTTTTATAATTTAATAAGTACTCCCTAAAAATGAAGAGAATAGGAAATGTGAGATGATACAAATGAATACACAAACAATGTCATATATGGTTGCTGTCCATTTTTTTAATTCAAAGAAAATGCAATATGCCCGGAAAACACATGAACATATTTGCAAAAAAATGGACAATTTGGAATATCCCGAAATATTAAAAAAGGGAACTCATATAAAGGAAATTGGAAGAAAGAAAAAAGGAGATTTCGAACGCAAACAATTTCCTGGTCCACTTGTTTAAAAGTCAAAATTGGTACATTGTGAACTGACCGTACTAAGAAATTGGGACATTTTGTACTTTTATTACACGAGGGAAATTTGTCAATCAGAACAAAAGGAAAAAATTGGAAACACAAGGGTCGTATACAACAAATAGCAACCAAGTGCACCAAATAGTGACAGTTTGAAAAGGTAGTACATGTAATTTCGATGCATTATTTTGTGTTCTTAAGTAGACGGGTTCGTTTGTGGAACAACAGTGAACCCTGCCTGTTAAGGGACTCATGTTGTATATGTATACAAGGGATGCCTTTCGAATGTATCCCACTAAGACAACAAAGATGACCCCACAAAATCTCCTGCTGTTTCCTCTTACAGCCCCTAAATTAAGCATCGGATTATAAGTATGATATAATATGAATAGTAAGCGATAATAATACACAGCTTACAATGCAAAGCCAATAAAAGTACAATACAAGGCAATATAAAATATATAAAGTGCCACTATAACTCCCACATGGCCATGGTGGACTAGGAGGCTCCTCCCTCTACATATACACATAATTCAGCTTCTCATTTCATCGATTGCAACAACTAGCCAAGGTGTATCAGGCATCACACCCCAACTTGATTGGGGTAAACCCCTTGGAAGACATTTATGTTCATGTCGTTGATGATGCACAACAACTCATCCATGTCCTTGAAAACATAGAAACATTTATTGTCATTGATCATACCTGCTTACCTTTGAAGCTCATTGTCATTGATTCCATTGCTGCATTATTCCAGTCACAGTATGACAGAACACCCTCGGATTTGAAACGCCGATCTGAAATGTTTTTCACTATTTCAGGCAGATTGAAGGCTTTAGCAAATAAGTTTGGGGTGGCAGTGCTTTTGACAAACTAGATAGTGGATTTCATTGGCCCAGATGATGGAATAAATGGGGTGAGATTGGGAAACTTGGAGTGCTTGCATACATCAGGTAGACGGGTCAGTCCAGCATTGGTACTGGCTTGGGCACATTGCATCAATTCAAGGGTGTTCTTGTCAACACATGAGCACTTCGTTGGGGGGAACATTCCTAATCCTCCTTCACCAACTATGTCTTGTAAAACATACAGGAGACTTCATCTTTTATTTGCCCCACATTTGCCCCCTGCATCATCTAAATTTGTAATCACAAAAGAAGGGGTTGTGGGAGTATCAACGTAATTGCCTACAAATAGCAATGGAAGCGATTTTATGTTTACAATCCATTGGTAGTTACCTTCCCCACAATTACATTTTGTACACACTTGTAAAATGACATTGCAAAACCAATACGTAAGACGGTATAAGTATGATATAATACGAATAGTAAGCGATAATAATACACAGCTTACAATGCAAAGCCAATAAAAGTACAATATAAGGCAATATAAAATAAATAAAGTGCCACTATAACATCAATAGCTAAGCAATATATGCCAATCAACAAGCAACGAAGGAAGGCAGGTACTGTATTTGCAGCTGTATACCATGTCGTATTTGTAATACATTAAGGGTATGACTCAAAAGTAAATGCGGCTGTGGGCCTGACCGTTGACAATGGAAAATATTTAAATTAAAAAAATAAATTACTGGGAAGAAAATTGACGTGGAAGGCGCAACACCACATTTTGGATCTCTATTCAGTTCATTATTCATGTTGGTGCGCTCAGAAGGTGTTCCCTCCACTTTGTGCACACACAAGTAAAACCCATTGAATACAAGCCCTTTTTAGCAGCCTCACTATCGCAGATCTTGAACAAGAGTTCATAAAGACTAAATAAGGAGATGAGTAGGAGGAGCTTCTGTAGCGGTGTGGCTGAGTCAGTCAGGTCTCGGTTGCATGCTTAAGACTCAACTTCAAGATCTCGAGGGGATATGGAAGAGGCGAGTTCACTATGTTCACGGGGTCTACTACTGTGGGAACGTTGTCAAAACGCATACATCATGGATAGTTTCTCATCCTGGAATGAGGTTTCAAGTATGTGGAAGGGTAAGTTGATTGAGTTTATTTTTGTGGTTAGGATGCTGAAATTTGGGATTGTCGTGGATTAAAAAACTGATGGTGCGCCTATGCGTTGCAATAAATTGTTTTCGTTTATGCAGAAGAATGGATGCACATTTTGGGAATGGGCTAACCCAGAGATGTGTGACAGATCGAAGCACATAATTCCCGGCTTGCTTAGGAAAATAAATCGGTTGGAAGAAGAAAAAAACTGTGGAAAAGGCAAGATGAAAAACCCCTGGTTTTGGGTATCTCTGTTCACGTTTGTAATGGTATTTTATTTGTTGTTTGCCAAAAGTAATGGGAGGTGTGGTCGTCTACAGTTCGTAGGTTAATGTTGGTTAGGTATTGGATGTAATGGAAGAGAAGCGATGTATTTTAGATCCGTTATGGCAGACATGGTCCTTTTGCATTTCCTATTGATTTCCAATTGCAATTCAAAAGGCATTGCCAATATTGTGCACCTCTCTAATTTTGGGTACGAACTCTAATGTACCTTCAATCGTCATGACAATGAATCCACCTCAAACATGACAAATAACAAAATAAACGACGGTCACTCCCCTCCCAAAACTAGAACCATATTATGTAAAACAATAGCACAGTTGACCTTGTAAGTGGCCCACATTTCCCCCTTGCGTCATCTGAAGTTGCAATGACAAATGATGAAGTACTACCAGTGTCACGATAATTGCGTAACAAATGCATTTGAATGAGTTTTATGTATGGGATGCATTTGTAGTTGGCCTTCTAGGCCCTTTCATTTTGGACACACATTTTACTTTGCGATACCGATATGACTACAAAAAAGGTACAATATAATACGAATACAGTGGCAAGAAAAGTACAATACCATGGCGATAGACATTCTGTAGCAAAGGAAACCAATATAAGCCAATGTCACTGAAATCACAATACACATAACACCAAATACAATACAATTGAAATTGAAATGAACGGTACATAACAACCCAACATAAGTGATAATTTGTAAGACACATGTAAGCAGTGGAACATTATTTTGCAGCTGGTTGGATTGTGACCCGTGGCACCATATGTTCAACAATGTGTACTAATACTGGCCGCTCATTGAAAGGGACTTGTTACCTTGCGTTTGTAAGGCTGCCATGACCGTTGAGTTAACCGACTCTCATGCTTGCAGCATCACCGAAGCTAATCGTCAACTTACCAATTGATGAAAAGAGACATATAACCTAAACAATTGTCACCTCTACGCAACCTGCTGCTTTTTGGTGATGGGGACAAATTGTTTGCATGTATTTCGGTAGTGGCCCTTCACACCGCACCTTGAGCATTTGTTTTCACTCCAGTCCTCTCCTTTAGAAGGTATTCTTTGTGTTTTACGATGCCCCGGCATAACCTTAGAAAGAGGAGGGAGGATTTTTATATTGTTCAAATGTTCGGGAATAACCCATGTCCCTTGAGGTGGTACAGGATAAATGGATTCAGCATATGCAGCTACCCATGTTGCTCGTGGGTAATACGAAGAGGCTAAGGAGTCGGGGTTCAATTTCAAGTGTCGACATACCGCAATAGCATGCTTGCACAAGAGTTGCTCTAAGTCAAACTTCCTGCACATACAACTATGGTTTTGTAAGTTCACCAGACCGTTCATATCACCATCCAGAACATTATACTCCTCATCATTGATTTTGACCACATTCATACTTGACGCAGCGTGTAACATCTTCCTTAACTTCTTTTCGCCTAAATCGGGGCACAACGTAGATTGACATTTCCTTACTAAATCTCGACGTTGACTAAACCAATACAGAAGCAGATTTGTAATTTTGTCGATCATGTGTACCACCGGAAGCATCCTTGCAAAATGAAGAATTGAATTTATGGACTCCACAATATTTGTTGTCATCACATTATATCGTCATCCATCACAATGGGCTTGAGACCACTTCTGGAGGCCTGCACGTACTAGATAAGTTCGCACTCGATCATTGTTTGTCATGGAGAAGTGACGATTGAACTCCCCCAGACGATACGACTTGGTTGCCCTTACAAAATACCCCAATATAGGATCCCACTGCTTCAAGGGAAATGAGGCTTTCATATTGCCCTTCAAGTGATAACAGCAAATTCCATGTGTTGCCCCAGCAAAAACTTTTTTCAACCCATTTTGTATGCTGACATTTTGATCAGATATGACAACAAGATTCACACAATCACCAATTGCATAATGTAGTCTTTTCAAAAACCACTCCCACGCTGCATCCGTCTCTAAATCTCCAATCCCAAAGGCAATAGGATATATATTACGATTTCCATCAAATGCGGTCGCAACAAACAAAACACCTTTATACTTGCACTTCAAATGGGTAGCATCAACTGCAATGACGAGGCACATTGACGACTTAAATCCTCTTATGCATGCACCAATTGACATAAAAAAAAATATAAGAAGTGGTCGGCTGCATCAGTCTCAATGTATGTCAAAGTTCCAGGATGTGTACACTCCAATTCATAACAATACGAAAGGAGAAGGGAATATGACTGTTCTGCAGACCCTCTAATTGTTTTGAAACCTAACTCTCGGCTTCTCCATGCTGTAGCATAGCCTATGGTCACCCCAAAATTTGTTTTGACATCTTTCTTGATATCAGCTAGAGTATAAATGGTGCCTGAATCCTTCAATCTCCAATTCACACTGTCGGACAGCAATCTAGTCGTAGCTTGAGGATGGTGACTGATTACATACCTTAGATCACATTCATGAAACGGATCGTATTTAACAACCCTAAACTCATGTAATCCAACTTTATATGCCCGAACTTGCCAAGGGCAAGAAAGCTGCCAACAACGAACACACAACTGACGCTTCCCAGATTGGACGGTTCTCAATCGAAAGTGGGCACTAATTGCTGCTACACTTATGGTTTTTAAAAGGGAAACCTTTTTTGGAAAAACTCGGCCAACCTTAAAATTTGCTTCCCAATTTATGCAACAAAGGCCTCCACCATAATCAATATGTTTCAAACTGTGACCATACATCAAATCAATCTGGCTTGTCTGCATTCCAGTCGAAATTGATTGTCGAGAAGGTTCATATTGCACCTGTCTACACTGCACAGTGGAGGGTTCGAAATTGTTGTCCCCATGATGATGCATATTTGGCGCAAAGTACGGTTCCTTTTCGTTGCTAGGTTCACACAAATCAGCAACTATGTTTTCGATACTTTTAAAATTAACATCTTCAACCCAATCCATCCAATTAAAACCATTTCCACCATTTTCAGTTTCGTTCTCCCCAATTACCTCATTTCTATGTTCCACACCAAATTTAGCAAGAGCATTGCTACTCTCAATGCTTACATTTCCATTGCACCCTTCAATACCATGACCTTCTATATTTTTCAAGCTTGCTATTAAAGGGGTTACTTTAGAGGCCATAACATTTGTGTTGTACTTTAGAAAATATTGAACATCATTATTGTCTTCAACCCTTATGTGCTTAAAGACAGATGAGGATATAGGAACTGAATACTTCAGTGTGACAATGTATTTGTTAGGATATGCATCCATGATCTTATAAATGCGCTGAACAAGGTCGGGAAATGTTATGTTCTGTGACACTATTATACCTTTAGCCTCCCCACCTTCATAACTGTCAATGTTATCCTTCCGAACCCAACTTCCATTGTAGCATACCAATATTCCAACAGTATCCATTTCTGCAAATAACATCAATAATGACTAGACCGATTAATAACATTTACCACAAAAATTGGGTCCAATAATTACATACGCAACTATCATTCCACTACCTGTATCATCTTATCAATCCACAAATCTTCAGTTTCAAATTGTAGCTGCTTTAACAACGAAAATTTATTATTTTCTCTTATTTTGTATATATGTCTGGGTTCCAACTTATTAACAAACTCAACTAAACATACCATGACAGCAAGATGCCCCCTCTAAGATATAAGGGTTTTAAACAAATTTAAACACCTTCAACAGAAATATCAGGTTGTCATACAAAATGAATTATGCAATATAATATCAAACACCCTCAACCTTACTCAAAAATCATTTTGTATCACAACCTGTGCAGTATAATATCAATTACCAAATTGGAAACCAAAACACACAAACTAAGCTTCTTACCAAAACAAACCCACAAAGGCAAGAAATTCCCACTCAAATACCTCAAATTCCCTAGTTAAGCATCTAAATTGAGGCTAAAACTAACCTAACAAACCTATTTTTAGGCCACACAAAGTTAACATATGATTTTTCTGTGTGCTGTTATTTTGGCCATTATCAAACACATTGCACTACATTATACAGAATTCAGTCAATTTTAAACAAAATTCAGGTTCACCACACAGATCCCACTACAGATAATAACAAAAACTATGAATTTCATCATATTAGAACTCCTTCAAATTGAAAAATTTAGCTTTTTTGCCCATGTGTGGAGAAAAGGGGATAAACGAATTTATAAGACACATACAGTACAAAATCAATATCAGAACTCACCTCCGTTCACAACGACGACGAAAGTCGCCACTGTGGCTTCACTGTGGAGTCTCGACAATCACTTTGATGTGAAGGTCCACAATGGAGGTCGTGCCTTGCGCCGGCTTCGCTATGGTCAAACCAGGGTTCAAAATTTTAGGCCAACTGGTTTATGACGATGGATGGGTAGCGAACTAGAGCTACTCAGTGCTCGCAACTTGGAGTTCAGCCACTATTTGGGAGACTACAAAAACAAGGAGGAGAGGACTTGGGAGAAGTTGCCTTTCAGAAACGAAGTGCTAAAGAGTCTTTTATATGGAGGGCACTTAGGTAATTTCAAGTCCCCAAGTGATTATATCATAATAAGATTTTTAAAGTGATCATTTGAGAATACAAGTTTTGAAAAGTGATTATATCATCATATTTCCCTAGAAAGATTGGCTTTTCATGGAACAATTAAACAATTTGAAACCATGGGTTTGTTTCTATGAGGTTCCTTTACAACTCAAGATGGCGCATATCAAATCAGCCGCACAAATTTAGAGCTTTCAACACTAGAGGTTAGTCGCTCAGACTATAATGAGGGGTAAGTTATAAGGGGTTCACTTTATAGTCATTGGATCAATCCAAGGGCTGGGGAGAATTGGGATAAAGTTGTGCAATCGGGTAGGTGAGGAACCCAAACCCGAATTTAATATCCAGCAATGAAGTTGGTCCCAACAAAAAAAAAAAAGAGAGGCAAGTTCGAAGTTTGAACAGAAAAAACCCATTGATCTCAAACTCATAGCTCAGAGAAACCGCTAAGCTCTGAGAAACGGTTGAAGGCAACGGGCAACGACGGTTGAAGGCAAAGGTTAACGACGGTTGAACGCAACTCCACTATCTAAACCGTGAAAAAGTATTTATTTTGAGTGGAAGGAGCAAAGGCGTGGATTCTGAAACAGTGAAAAGACGAAGCAGTGGAAGGGGAAGGAG